AAGCATGCGCAAAAAGCACAACATAAAATTTTTTTATAATTAAAATAAAAAAAGAGAAAACAAAAATAAATTTATTTTTTAGAAAAATTAAAATCAAGAGACATTAGCGTTTAAATATCTACATAATGACAACAGTATATATGATTTTCACATTACATTATTTCTTATTATTTCTAATTAGTAAAGCTAATAACTTAGTATAATTTTTCACTATGCATGTATATACAGCACACACTCACACACACACACACACACACATTCTTCTAAAAATATATTAAAGATAAAAGCACTTTTTTAAATTAAGAAAGCAACTAGCTTAGTATCATTTTTCAAAATACGTTTTACCATATACGTTTGACTGCTTAGAGAATCTCTATCACTATTCTTAATGAGCATTATGCAGTTTGTTGTAAACAACTTAATCCAGTACTGTCTTTATTTCTTGAAAGGCTGGTGAGAGCACTTTCACATTCAAAGCACAGCGCCGATTTTTCAAGCTACTGACAGAGGTGTATTGATATGAGGAACCAGAAATAGACATTTTGCCCCTTGGATCAGAGCACAGAAATCATCTTTCATTAGAACCCTCTTGCCTGATGTCCTTTGACACACACACACACACACACACACACACAGGTTTACATTTGTGAAAAGTGGGGACATCCCATAGGCGTAATGGTTTTTATACTGTACAGACCGTATATTCTATTGCCCTTTACCAACCCTACTCCTAAACCTACCCCTTACAGGAGACTTTGTGCTATTTCAGATTTTCAATACACTCTATTCTGTGTGATTTATAAGCGTTTTGAAAAGTGGGGACATGGGATAATGTCCTGAAAAGTCACCTTCTCCTTGTAATACCTATGTCATACCTTTGTCATTATACAAATTTATGTCCTCATTTGTCACAAAAACGCGCACACACACACACAACTTAAGAATAAACACAACTGGTGTATTTGTGTGTGTGAAAGAAGGGGGAAGACAGTTTGCATAGGGATGCAGTGCAAACTAAGGGCATTATCAAATATATAATGGATAATCATCTAGCTTTCTAAAAATGTTTGACATGTTTTTTATAATCTGTTTTCATGTAACACTGGAATAACCTGTTTGAACTCAGGTACAATTTGAATCAACACCATCAGATCTTAAATAGTTTGTGCCGAATGGAGGAATGACTTATTGAAATAAGAGCTAAACAGTCTTTGTTATGCACAATTGTGTTTGGTGATGAAGGTTGTGCAGAAATTATACACTTCAGCTTAAATTATGTTCTAATAGAGCAGGTACATTTTTCAAGACACACGTCCTATTTATTTAGCATGTGTCCTATCCAGTCTAATTGATGCTTGAAACTCTCTAGGATTAGTGACGGCATCCACTCCATGTGTTATGACAGCATTCCTATCACTTACAGAGCTCCAGCTCTAATTCCCTGGAATTATTCCGTTGGGTTTGACTCGCAATCACTTCACATTGGTGGCACAAAACCTGTGTTTTAATCCAAGCTCTGTATGTCGCATTCGGTCATTCAGCGTGGTCTTGGATTTAAGAATGATTGTCTATTCCATTACAGAGTCTAATTTAAGAATGCTATATCGTAAATCGCTAGCGAGAACAGAGGAACGTGGCAGTGAATTTTAATGTTGACATTCATTACAATGATCAATGAGGAGTAAGCCACCATGGTAAATACAGACTTGTGTCTTTCTCCTGCTGTCTGCACACACTGTCCTGCTCTCATAAGCTCATAAATGGCCTATATGCTATACACATAAAACACTAAATGGCCATGTTTCCTTATTCATTTTTAACTCATCCATTTTTAAAGTAACCTTTACTATACTGATTAATGGTTGGCAGGAATTCTAGATAGACAGAATGATAGAACAGCCAATGACACACACTGACGGACGGACAGATGGACGGATGGAACAAACAAATGATGGATGGAGAGACAGACAGAAATAATGACAGACAGAACAAATGAACAAATCAATAAATAAACTAACTAAGGATGGATGGGTGGATAAATTAATAATGGATCTATAAAATATATATAGATAGACAGACAGACAGACAGAAAGAACAAAAGACAGAAAGCTAGACAGGTGGATAGAGACAAATCGATAGAGAGACGGACACAAAAAAAATGACAGACAAATGGATGGACGGACCAGAGTCTAATTTAAGAATGCTATATCGTAAATCGCTAGCGAGAACAGAGGAACGTGGCAGTGAATTTTAATGTTGACATTCATTACAATGATCAATGAGGAGTAAGCCACCATGGTAAATACAGACTTGTGTCTTTCTCCTGCTGTCTGCACACACTGTCCTGCTCTCATAAGCTCATAAATGGCCTATATGCTATACACATAAAACACTAAATGGCCATGTTTCCTTATTCATTTTTAACTCATCCATTTTTAAAGTAACCTTTACTATACTGATTAATGGTTGGCAGGAATTCTAGATAGACAGAATGATAGAACAGCCAATGACACACACTGACGGACGGACAGATGGACGGATGGAACAAACAAATGATGGATGGAGAGACAGACAGAAATAATGACAGACAGAACAAATGAACAAATCAATAAATAAACTAACTAAGGATGGATGGGTGGATAAATTAATAATGGATCTATAAAATATATATAGATAGACAGACAGACAGACAGACAGAAAGAACAAAAGACAGAAAGCTAGACAGGTGGATAGAGACAAATCGATAGAGAGACGGACACAAAAAAAATGACAGACAAATGGATGGACGGACACAAACAAATGATAGATAGATAGATAGATAGATAGTTTTCACCACTGTATTCTAATGAAGGTACTTTGTATTACATGAAGTCAGAAAACAAAGCCATTGGGAAAAACAGCTGATTATTAATCACCACAACCCTTTTTTTCTGTGTAAATTACAGTACTCAGTAACTAAATCATGTCCATAGGAAATGGTATTTCTACGAATGAGTGTCCAGACGCCCACTCCACACATCATGAGTCATTGACTGAGACTTGGGTTCTCAGAGTCAGTGGGTGCCGCCAACTGTGCACTTAGATCACTGAACTGTGAGACATAACCCGAACTGACTCTTACAGACATGTACACCAAAACACACCACTACACAGCCTTAGTGGAATTTAAACAAGCTAATATCAATGCTGCAGGTGCAGATGTAAATTAAAATAGGATTTATTCATGATTAATCTTAAGACTTTGCAGTTTAATCCTCCTACTTAAAAACTGAAACATACACAATGACACAAAAGTTCATTTTTTCCCCCAAAAAATTTCACTAAATTACATCAGTATTGTATATCCTCCCTTCTCAGCCATTGGTGCATGTCACCCATTGATTTACATTACAGATCAGCACTTTCCATACTCTTCAAATTCTTGAGTTTGTCTTCTGTCTCATCTGAACAAAAAAAGTAGGTGATTCTGGCCCTAGAAACTGTATTTAGCAAATATCTGCAATATGCACTAAAGTGAGACTGCTTACCATCTGGCTCATAATCATTGGGCTTTTAACAGCAGGCAAAACATCTGTGGTCAGAGTCTGATGTCCATTATGGGAAGGCAAGGCTCTGCTGTTGGCTTGAGCGGTGACAGGCTTGAAATTTGAGAATAAGGATCATCAAGGGGGAGGTAGATTGATGCCCTCATGTTCAGGCTAAAGCTGTTTGATACCGTCGGCTAGACACAGGTCTCATCTCAATTTGGTGAGCAGTGGAGATAAGCCTGCCAGTGCTGTGTGCTAAACTGATCCATCCATCCTGGTGTCAATAGAGCGATAAGAAGCCCAGCGTGAGAGTGCGAGCTGAAGGGTTACAGGCATGTCTTGCCTACATTGTAAATTTTAGTATGGTAGCGAGGTGCAACCCCCCCCCTCCAATATAAGACGGCACAAGAAATATAACCGCCTCCATTTGCATCACATACAAATGCACAAACAACACAATTAAAGGAACAGTTCACCAAAAAATTATAATTTGCTGAAAATATATTCACCCTCAGGCCATCCAAGATGTAAAACAGTTGGTTTCTTCATTGGAACAGATTTGGAGAAATCTAGCATTACATCACTTGCTCACCAATGGAACCTCTGCAGTGAATGGGTGCCATCAGAATGAGAGTCCAAACAGCTGATTAAAAACTTCACAATAATCCAACAAATGACTCCAGTCCATGAATTAACATCTTGTGAAGCGAAAAATTATGTTTGTAAGAAACAAATCTATCTGGCTAAAATACAAGTCCTCTTTCCATAATACTGCTTTCGCCAGTGAAAAATTTGTCTTGTCTGAATCAGGAGAGAAATATGCACAGATCAAGCATCATTTACAAGTTAAAACCATTCTAAACAATTATGTTGAAGGATTTTGATTTGAGAGAACAACAGGGGATGGACTTTCATTGGAGAAAGCATTACTATGGATGGAGAAAGCATTACTATGGATTATGGACTTTTGGTCAGAAGTTACGGTTTAATGTTAAAACTCATTAATGATCGATTCGTTTCTTACAAACACGCAGCTTTTTGCTTAAGATGTTAATTGATTGACTGGAGTGGATTACTTGTGGATTATTGTGATGTTTTTATCAGCTGTTTGGACTCTCATTCTGATGGCACCCATTCACCGCAGAGGATCCACTGGTGAGCAATTGATGCAATGCTAAATTACTCCAAACCTGTTCCAATAAAGAAACAAACTCATCTACTGTACATTATGGATGGCCTGATGGTGATCTATCTATCAATCTATCTATCAATCAATCAATCAATCTCATAACTGGCTGGGAAGTTTCAGGGAATGTTTAAGCAGCAGGGTGTAAAGATAGTTTGGTGGTTGCTTATTGTGGACTTGGCCTCCTGCGGTCTCTATGGAAACCCCCGTCTGCTTCTGCAGTCTCTGTAAGAATTTAATAGGTATACCTGCGTTCCCACGGTGGGCAGATAAAGCTGGTGTCAGTCACAGCTGTTCTTGAGAACGCATCCTTTATTGCCGGAGCGCATTCGTGATTTAATTGCTTGTGAGTAACACTTCGCATTACAACACCATCCAGCTGAACTGCAGTGAATAGATCAGTGATTAATATGAGCACAATATCTGTATTGTGGAGCAAAGTGGTGAATTTTTCTAATCTCTGGTCTATTGGCTACAGCAGAGCAGTGACCTAACATGGACCTAATTTGATGATCTTTGGCAATTGAATGAATACGTACTGAAGAAAGCCAAAATGTAAAATAAGAATTGGATGATAATTTTGTTGTTGTTTTTACATATATGTTAAGAAAAGGATGGATAGAGAGACAGAGATAGAGACATCACAAATATTTTAGTAGACTAGATCTCCTCAGTCACAGGTTTCCACCTTGTGATCAAAATGTGAACTGCAGTTGAAAGTGTGCATCATGCAACCTCATATAACCTCAGTTAGTCCCCACCCCAGCCGCTGTTAAGTCACTTTCAAGCATGGCATACTGATAAATTTCATATTCATTATGAAAAATATGATACAGGATTTAGGTTTTGGGGTTTAAACGTATCCATTACCACAATATTATTAAAATAACACAAAAACAATAAAACAACATTCATAGTGTGATAGATAAATGGCATTTTAGAGAGACAGGCAGATAAATGGTTTAGGCTGTTTGAACAGCTTGAAACCGGCATCACAGCAAAGCATCAAACCTATGACAGTAACTTGGCAAGTTACTTTATCATTTTTTTTATTTTGATGACTTCATAAGTCCTATAGTCCCTGAGCAGACATTCGCTGTTTTAATTACACTGAGTACACTGTAAAACTATTTACATGAAATTATAAAGTTTTACTCTTGTTACAGATAAATTCCAAGGATTCTGATTTAAAATAGTTGGAGAATCCAAAACTATTTAGAACGCTGAGACTCTTCAATCACATCTCATAGTAAGTAACTAAGCAAGTAAATAAGCAAGCAGTTCTCTAACCTGTAAGATCCATAATATCCATATCTGGAGGACTTGTCAGACAATACTTTAGCTGAAAGGGGACAAAAAAAAGTCAATTATAAACATTGCATTCACAACTCCAGTCCCAATAAATAAATACATAAACCAACAAAACTCTTAAGCTAGGCAAGTCACCCAAGTCCTTTCCTCATCGTGTACTCCAAAAAGAAAAAGAAAAGAGAAACACACCAACACTTTTTAATTTATGATGGGATTAACGTTACTAATGAGAAAACTAATAATGGCTATCAGAACAGCAATAACATTACTTGATTTATGATTACCCATATCGGTGTAGTCAGACATATCAACATATTATCAACACTTAAAATGTGTTTAGACCGGTCATAGCTTACATTTTCCTGTAATAAGCCTTATAAATCGTACGTAATGGGAATATTCATTTTATTTTTCTAAACAGCTAACGTTTGCCGCCGTTTTTCGTTAGAGTCTGCAAACTCAGCTCAAACAATCAATTACGCCACAACGAGCGCATGCGCGCCAATCAAATGCCCATATGAATCAGGATTTAAAGGGACCGCGATCATTTTGATCAAAACAATACTCTCGCTAATATTTGTGACCTTGGACCACAAAACCAGTCAGCACGGGTGTATTTGTAGCAATAGCCAAAAAATGCATAGGTCAAAATTATCGATTTTTCTTTTATGCCAAAATCAATAGGATATTAAGTAAAGACAATGTTCCATGAATATATTTTGTAAATTTCCTACCGTAAATATATTAAAACTTCAGATGATGTATAAATCTCAGTTTCGGAAAATTGACCCTTATGACTGGTTTTGTGGTCCAGGGTCACATTTGACCATTGTGTTGATAAAGTATATTGAAAAAGTTTGCCCCATTTATATTGTTGCGTGTTATTTCCTAATTCAGCCTCAGGGTTTTTCTTCCCCTACAAATGTCACTTCAGATGCTCTAAAGTGACCTTTTTTTTTACGACAAGCTCGTAAATTGTGAAACTTGCAGGGCAATATGCTATCATTATATGAAAAAATAATAATGGAAGTTCAATCATGGACATACATTTTTTTTAATCAATTATCATTTAAAAATAAAATTTGCATGAGCCGTCTGTTTGACAAAAAAACACTGCAACGCCGTTTTATGTCCAGAAGATGGCAGTAAAGTAAAAGCAATATATGACCACCCAAGCGAGGGGTCATACGTGTGGGTGGGTATTTGGTGTAAAATAATGTACTGTACAAATGACAGAACATGACCAAAGAGGCATTCATTTTGATTCACTGATATAAAATAGTTTCATTCGGAGGACAACAAATTACTGCTATTAAATTAAACTTAGTGATGGCAGTCAATTTTAATGTATTGTATGTGTGACATATCCATTTATACTATTACATCAAGCTAAATATATTGGTCTGATCGGTCACATATCCATGACACTATAAGGGAAATGAACTGAACTACAATGTGGACGCTCAACCAGCACCACGGACAGCAACTGCCAGCATTCAGCAATAGTGTAAGCCGATTAATACAAAGCGGCCTTGTGAGTAACACTTCGCATTACAACACCATCCAGCTGAACTGCAGTGAATAGATCAGTGATTAATATGAGCACAATATCTGTATTGTGGAGCAAAGTGGTGAATTTTTCTAATCTCTGGTCTATTGGCTACAGCAGAGCAGTGACCTAACATGGACCTAATTTGATGATCTTTGGCAATTGAATGAATACGTACTGAAGAAAGCCAAAATGTAAAATAAGAATTGGATTATAATTTTGTTGTTGTTTTTACATATATGTTAAGAAAAGGATGGATAGAGAGACAGAGATAGAGACATCACAAATATTTTAGTAGACTAGATCTCCTCAGTCACAGGTTTCCACCTTGTGATCAAAATGTGAACTGCAGTTGAAAGTGTGCATCATGCAACCTCATATAACCTCAGTTAGTCCCCAGCCCAGCCTCTGTTAAGCCACTTTCAAGCATGGCATACTGATAAATTTCATATTCATTATGAAAAATATGATACAGGATTTAGGTTTTGGGGTTTAAACGTATCCATTACCACAATATTATTACAATAACACAAAAACAATAAAACAACATTCATAGTGTGATAGATAAATGACATTTTAGAGAGGCAGGCAGATAAATGGTTTAGGCTGTTTGAACAGCTTGAAACCGGCATCACAGCAAAGCATCAAACCTATGACAGTAACTTGGCAAGTTACTTTATCATTTTTTTTATTTTGATGACTTCATAAATCCTATAGTCCCTGAGCAGACATTCACTGTTTTAATTACACTGAGAAAACTATTTACATGAAATTATAAAGTTTTACTGTTGTTACAGATAAATTCCCAGGATTCTGATTTAAAATAGTTGGAGAATACAAAACTATTTAGAACGCTGAGACTCTTCAATCACATCTCATAGTAAGTAACTAAGCAAGTAAATAAGCAAGCAGTTCTCTAACCTGTAAGATCCATAATATCCATAGCTGGAGGACTTGTCAGACAATACTTTAGCTGAAAGGGGACAAAAAAAGTCAATTATAAACATTGCATTCACAACTCCAGTCCCAATAAATAAATACATAAACCAACAAAACTCTTAAGCTAGGCAAGTCACCCAAGTCCTTTCCTCATCGTGTACTCCAAAAAGAAAAAGAAAAGAGAAACACACCAACACTTTTTAATTTATGATGGGATTAACGTTACTAATGAGAAAACTAATAATGGCTATCAGAACAGCAATAACATTACTTGATTTATGATTACCCAGATCGGTGTAGTCAGACATATCAACATATTATCAACACTTAAAATGTGTTTAGACCGGTCATAGCTTACATTTTCCTGTAATAAGCCTTATAAATCGTACGTAATGGGAATATTCATTTTATTTTTCTAAATAGCTAACGTTTGCCGCCGTTTTTCGTTAGAGTCTGCAAACTCAGCTCAAACAATCAATTACGCCACAACGAGCGCATGCGCGCCAATCAAATGCCCATATGAATCAGGATTTAAAGGGACCGCAATCATTTTGATCAAAACAATACTCTCGCTAATATTTGTGACCTTGGACCACAAAACCAGTCAGCACGGGTGTATTTGTAGCAATAGCCAAAAAATGCATTGGTCAAAATTATCGATTTTTCTTTTATGCCAAAATCAATAGGATATTAAGTAAAGACAATGTTCCATGAATATATTTTGTAAATTTCCTACCGTAAATATATTAAAACTTTATTTTTGATTAGTAATATGGCCAAATATGGTCCTATCCATACATCAATGGAAAGCTTATTTATTCAGCCTTCAGATGATGTATAAATCTCAGTTTCGGAAAATTGACCCTTATGACTGGTTTTATGGTCCAGGGTCACATTTGACCATTGTGTTGATAAAGTATATTGAAAAAGTTTGCCCCATTTATATTGTTGTGTGTTATTTCCTAATTCAGCCTCAGGGTTTTTCTTCCCCTACAAATGTCACTTCAGATGCTCTAAAGTGACCTTTTTTTTACGACAAGCTCGTAAATTGTGAAACTTGCAGGGCAATATGCTATCATTATATGAAAAAATAATAATGGAAGTTCAATCATGGACATACATTTTTTTTAATCAATTATCATTTAAAATAAAATTTGCATGAGCCGTCTGTTTGACAAAAAAACACTGCAACGCCGTTTTATGTCCAGAAGATGGCAGTAAAGTAAAAGCAATATATGACCACCCAAGCGAGGGGTCATACGTGTGGGTGGGTATTTGGTGTAAAATAATGTACTGTACAAATGACAGAACATGACCAAAGAGGCATTCATTTTGATTCACTGATATAAAACAGTTTCATTCGGAGGACAACAAATTACTGCTATTAAATTAAACTTAGTGATGGCAGTCAATTTTAATGTATTGTATGTGTGACATATCCATATATACTATTACATCAAGCTAAATATATTGGTCTGATCGGTCACATATCCATGACACTATAAGGGAAATGAACTGAACTACAATGTGGACGCTCAACCAGCACCACGGACAGCAACTGCCAGCATTCAGCAATAGTGTAAGCCGATTAATACAAAGCGGTATCAAATAATAACAACAACAACAAGAAAAAACAACAGAAGCAGTAATTGAAAGCAGTTCACACACTCTCTTCATCTTCAACTGGCTCCTCTTCTCCATACTCTCTTGTTACAAAAAAGGAAAGAAGATTAATCTGTAAACTTTGCAATATCTTCGGAATTTAGTCTACACATGCACCAGTTGGTGACTACTTTAGCTGACATGTAAGATAGTGGAAAAAAATATTTGTTTTAGATGGAACATAAAATATGTCTGATTGAAACACCATGACACTCACCCCTTACGGCTCCAACATTTTGTTCACAAACGATATTATCATAATTCTTCTGCGTTTCTTCTAAAAATGTACAGCAGATGCATATTATGCAAATATCTGTCATGCCAAAACACACATTAAAAAACTAGGCTGTAAAAATCACCTTCTCTCATGGTTGTGGCATCATCGTAAGTCTCATTCATGCAATCTGTGAAAAAATACAGAGACAACATCACTCTTTCTAAACTAGGACTAAGTTATATTTGCGGTCCTACTTCATATTTATTTTAGAATGATCATTTTAGTATGGACAATTCTCACAATTCTATCAGTGTTGACATATTCTTCTGGAGCCTTTTGGTCCATTTAGTCTGTAAATTAAAATCAATAAATCATACACTCTAAGAAATGTCCATTACAACAGTTCTAAACAAACACAGTGGTGGATTTTGATGTGAGAGGACAACGAGGGATAGACTCTCATTCTGACGTCACCCATTCACTACAAAGGATCCATTGGGGAGCAAGTGATGTAATGCTAAATTCTTCAAATCTTTTCCAATAAAGAAACAAACTCATCTACATCTTGGATAGTCTGAGGGTGTGTATTTTTATTTTGGGTGAACTTTTCCTTCACTAAGAGAGTTCAGAAATGCTGACTTTGATATCTACACTTGTTCAAACTTCCCCCACAGACTAACACCTGTGTGCTCTCACCCTGACTGCAGCTTGCACAAACACGTTTTTACACAAACACAGCGATGTGGTTTTCACTGCTGAATTCTGTGGTTAAAAGCAGGAAGCATAACAGGATTAACATAGCTTTAACTCTAACGGTCAAAAAAGACATGTAGAATCATTAGACATGTCAGCATAGTTAAAAAAACAAAAAAACCTTTAAACTATAAATTCATAATTTTGACTATTCACAACAACAGTATCAAATGTTTTCATATTAATCATAAAGGTGATCATTTCAACAGACTCACCCCTCTGAGTGAAGTGATTGTGTCTGTGCTGAATCTCCTCATAAACAGCCTCAGTCATCGTCCTGTGCCTCCTCTTAGAGAGAGCTGTGAGTGTAGACA